ATTGGAGTGATATTCTCAGGCAATTTATTTAAAGTTTTTATTTTTATTTATTTAATACAGGGTCTTGCTACACAGCTCAGACTCATAGAGATCCTCCTGTCTCAGCCTCCTTCTGTGTGCCTCCACGCCCAGTTCCGGGGCTGGCATGGCATTTGGTAGTGAGGATCAAACTTGGGACCTTTATGATGCTGAGCTATCTCCCCAGCCTATGTAATTTATTTAAAAGTGGCAAATACCAGAAAATAAAATATGAAATCCATAGGCAAAACATAGAATTATATATTAAAAAGCAAGGCTTAGAAAAGAATAAAATATACATAGATTGAAAATAAACAGACATATTAGCATTACATACTGAATACGGATGAGGAACTTACCTCAGTGTAGTGCAAATAAATGACTGGAAAGTAGAGGAAAAAATGACAAGACTGGAGCAGAGAACTAGAACTCATATTAATAATATGAGCTCTAGGAGGAAAGAATACAGACAATGAAGGAGAAGCAATATGTGAGGAAATAAAGACGAAGAATGTTTAGGAACTGAACAAACATATTTCAATCACAGATTGTAAAATCAGGGGCTGGGAAGATAGCTCGGCGGTCTATGTGCCTGCCTGACAAGCACAAGGATCTGGGTTCGATCCCCAGTACCGCAGGCCATGCTGGCCCTGACACCAGGCACGCGTCAAATCCCAGCACTGGGGAGGCTGAGAGAGGATCATTATGAATCCAACCCATGAAGCAAAACCCTGTACAAAATAAATACAACATTTAAAAAAAATTTTACAAAAATTAAATTTTTAAAAAAATCTTGTAATTTTAAAAAAACAAAAAGGCACTCCAGTCACTTAGGTGTACATAAAAACAAATACATATCTAGAAACAATACAACACCTCTTCCCCCGCTGTACAGCCCCTTAAAGAGGAAAGATACATAATCTACAAAGGATGTCATGAGACTAAAACAGAACATTTTATTTTATTTTTATATTTTAGGGAGGGGTCTACCGGGTGTCCAGGGTCTCACTACTAGATCGGACTCATAGTGATCCGCCTGCTTACAGGCTCCCAAGCGCTGGGATCACAGATGTGCACAACCACATCCAGTCTCAATTGCTGTCTCAGTGTGCCCTGGGGGTGGGGCTGACATGGCAGGCCCTGGAATTGAACCCCCCACCCCTGTGCCTGCTTGCAGGAGCTTTAATTCACTGAGCTAATTGGCTGGCCCTAAAAGAGAACATTTTGTTCCCCAAACAGAGAGCAGAATGCAAGGAATACTGTGCTCTTAATGCCAAGGTACAATGTAAGTCACCCTGCAGTGTTACATGAAGGGTACTACTTCTGAAAGCAATTATGAAATAAAGCCGATAACGGTACGATAAGTGTGTATGTGTGTCTGTTCACACACATCTCCTGATCAGTAAAAGTAACCACAGAGGGCTGAGGGTTTCGCTCAGTGGCACAGCACCTGCCGGGCAAGCTTGAGGTCTGAGCTTGATTTTCAATATCAGAAGCGAGAAGAAACAATAGAAAAAAGAATTGCTTCTTTGGAAGTGAGGAAGAAGGAGAAAGGACCAAAGAAAAGGAAGTACGACAAGACAGGACTATGTCTATGCTCATCAGTTGAAAGAAAGAGACACAATGGAATAAATCTACATGCCCAAAAGAAAGTTACTATCTGATTGTATAAAGAAAAACAAAATAAAAATAGATGCTTCTAAAAAGAATTGCACTGAAAATAGAGCGGCACCTAAGAGCAAGCAGTTGGTCTTGCCTGTCTACAGCAGGCAAGACTTGGGGGTAGCGTTTTTGCAAAGTATGGATTATGGATAAATGCGTGCTTGTTCTAGTAGCTCTCTACTTTTCTATACCTTTGAAATATTTCACAGCAAAAAAATTATTTAGAAAGGAAAAAGAGTAGCATGAACAAAAGGCTAAGGAAGAGGATTAATGCAGCGTGGGCTTTGGGACAGCCACCGACATGAGACTTCTGTGAGAGGAGCCCTTTGTCCTTTCTCCGGACTCCCCAGATGTCGGCACCACTGGCAAGTCCAGCCTGCATGGCTCAAAGCTCGGCTTGTTGCTCAAAAAAAAAAAAAAAAAAAAAAAAGAACAGACTACTGGGTGACATAGCACAAGAGAAATGGCCCTCACAGGTCTCATAAAAAGTGTCACGGCCGAAAAGACAAGAGGATCAGTGCTCAGACAGCAAGGACAGAACATGATGCGTTTCTTGAAGGTGAAATTCCACGAGGTGGTTTGCTTGGTTCCTGAAGGTCTTTGGCATCTGTCATTTTCTAAAGTGCCCTTGTGACTTTCCCTGTCCTAATGTCTTGATGTGAATGACAGACGACTTTGCGACTTGTGGTGTAGGGAACAGAGAGATACTCATCTCGGGGCAAAAGGGAGAAAAGGAAGGCACGGATCTGGTCGAGCATACTAAAGATCCATTGCCTTGCGGATATTTCACTCGGTAATGTGCGCTGTTAACTCTCTCTGCTCTTTCAGCCTGTGGATATGGCGCTGAGGTCTCTTCTGTGCCATGTCGCGCTGGCCTTCCACTGAGAAGATGCTCCATTTCTGGAGATTTTCTTGCAGAGAAAACTAGGAAGTTGACACTGCGACACTGAAGGTGTCCTAAGTCTAGCCCATGTGCGTATACATGAGGAAAGAGAAAATCTAATGGAATTTCTGAAAAAGAAAAAAAAGGAGCAGACGACTAAGGAACTGTACATGTCTGAAGAATCTTGGCCCTATCGTTACTTTAATGCACGCCATTATATTGTCCCTGGGCCGCCCTGAATGCTTTGAAGACAGAGTGCTTCTTTTCGGCTTTCAGAGCATTGTCATGATAAACAACACAGCCTGACTGGAGCAGTTCACAGCGCCAGCTGAGCCACCAAAGTTAAGTCCAGCACACAGTTCCCTTGCACTGAATGTGATTCTTTCGGACAAAAATAGGTACTGGTGAGGGGGAGGGAAGATCTACTTTAGAAACCTTTCTTTTTTATATCTTCAATTATTGTACTAAACAGGTTTTTCTTCTTTTCTTCTTTAGATGGTAAAATGAGAATTAGCCCTTGACTTGTGTCGCCCTCATTTAGAAGGTGCGAGAGGATAGGTCACTTAGAAATCACAGTCCACCAATAGGTGGACTCAGAAGGAATCCACACACGTGAGGCACAGTTTGCTCCATTCTCGCTGCTGTATTTCTCTCTCTTCTGGGAAAAGTGAGCTGGAACCTGGTCAAAGATGACTACAGAGGGTGAAGACAGGAGGAGGAAGCAGGTGTGTCGATGCAGGTCTGTAATGTAGCACTCTGCGGGGCGCTGGCTCAGGTGGGCTGCAAGTTCAGGTCCACCCTGGGCAAAGCAGAGACCTAGGGAGACAAGTGCCTACCTCACAATAAAAAGCAAAAAGGATAAGGACTGTGGCTCAGAGTAAAGACTTTGGATTCAATCTTCAGTTGAAAACAAAAACACTGCACATGGCTTCAGGGTAAATCTGAGGGGATTTGACTGACCTTGGCAGATATAAAGGTTACATTTTTTTGGTTATATGGGTTTTGCTTTATCTTGATCTTAACCATCCAGCAGAAAAGAATAAA